AGACCAGTGTCACAGACATGTATAGTATGCAAAGTCATGGAGAAGATTATCAGGAGAAGAGTGGTGGAACACCTAGAAAGGAATGATCTCATCAACAGCAGCCAACATGGTTTCAGGGACGGGAAATCCTGTGTCACAAACCTACTGGAGTTCTACGACATGGTGACAGCAGTAAGACAAGATAGAGAGGGGTGGGTGGATTGCATTTTCTTGGACTGCAAGAAGGCGTTTGACACAGTTCCACACAAGAGATTAGTGCAAAAACTGGAGGACCAAGCAGGGATAACAGGGAAGGCACTACAATGGATCAGGGAATACTTGTCAGGAAGACAGCAGCGAGTCATGGTACGTGGCGAGGTGTCAGAGTGGGCACCTGTGACCAGCAGGGTCCCACAGGGGTCAGTCCTAGGACCAGTGCTGTTTCTGGTATTTGTGAATAACATGACGGAAGGAATAGACTCCGAAGTGTCCCTGTTTACAGATGACATGAAGTTGATGAGAAGAATTCATTCAATCGAAGACCAGGCAGAACTACAAAGGGAACTGGACAGGCTGCAGACCTGGTCCAGCAATTGGCCCCTGGAGTTCAACCCCACCAAGTGCAAAGTCTTGAAGATTGGGGAAGGGCAAAGAAGACCGCAGACAGAATACAGTCTAGGGGGCCAGAGAAGACAAACCTCACTCAAGGAAAAAGATCTTGGGGTGAGTATAACACCAAGCACATCTCCTGAAGCGCACATCAACCAAATAACTGCTGCAGTATATGGGCGCCTAGCAATCCTCAGAACAGTATTCTGCCATCTTAATAAGGAATCGTTCAGGACCCTGTACACCGTGTACGTTAGGCCCATATTGGAGTACGTGGCACCAGTCTGGAACCCACACCTAGCCAAGCACGTAAAGAAACTAGAGAAAGTACAAAGGTTTGCAACAAGACTAGTCTCAGAGCTAAGAGGTATGTCCAACGAGGAGAGGTTAAGGAAAATCAACCTGACGACACTGGAGGACAGGAGAGATAGGGGGACATGATAACGACATACAAAATACTGAGAGGAATTGACAAGGTGGACAAAGACAGGATGTTCCAGAGACGGGACACAGCAACAAGGGAACACAGTTGGAAGTTGAAGACACAGATGAATCACAGGGATGTTAGGAAGTATTTCTTCAGCCACAGAGTAGTCAGGAAGTGGAATAGTTTGGGAAGTGATGTAGTGGAGGCAGGATGCATACATAGCTTTAAGCAGAGATATAATAAAGCTCACGGTTCAGGGAGAGTGACCTAGTAGCGACCAGTGAAGAGGCGGGGCCAGGAGCTTGGACTCGACCCCTGTAACCTCAACTAGGTGAGTACAACTAGATGAGTACACACACACACACACATGATGTGAAGTTAATGAGGAGAATTAAATCAGATGAGGATCAGGCAGGACTACAAAGAGACCTGGACAGGCTGGACACGTGGTCCAGCAACTGGCTTCTTAAATTCAACCCCGCCAAATGCAAAGTCATGAAGATCGGAGAAGGTCAAAGAAGACCGCAGACAGAGTATAGACTAGGTGGTCAAAGACTGCAGACCTCGCTCAAGGAGAAAGATCTTGGGGTGACCATAACACCGAGCATGTCTCCGGAGGCACACATCAACCAGATAGCTACTGCAGCATATGGGCGCCTGGCAAACCTAAGAATAGCGTTCCGGTACCTCAGTAAGGAATCGTTTAAGACTTTATACACTGTGTACGTCAGGCCCATATTGGAGTATGCAGCACCAGTTTGGAACCCACACCTGGTCAAACACAAGAAATTAGATAAAGTGCAAAGGTTTGCAACAAGGCTAGTTCCAGAGCTAAGGGGAATGTCCTATGAAGAAAGGTTAAGGGAAATCGGTCTTACAACACTGGAGGACAGGAGGGTCAGGGGAGACATGATAAGGACATACTAAATACTGCGTGGAATAGACAAGGTGGACAGAGACAGGATGTTCCAGAGATGGGACACAGAAACAAAGAGTCACAATTAGAAGCTGAAGACTCAGATGAGTCAAAGAGATGTTAGGAAGTATTTCTTCAGTCATAGAGTAGTTAGTAAGTGGAATAGTCTGGCAAGCGATGTAGTGGAGGCAGGAACTATACATAGTTTTAAGACGAGGTTTGATAAAGCTCATGGAGCAGGGGGAGAGAGGACCTAATAGCGGTCGATGAAGAGGCGGGGCCAGGAGCTAAGTATCGACCCCTGCAACCACAATTAGGTGAGTACAATTAGGTGAGTACACACATACACACACACGCCAATACCTTAGTAAGGAATCGTTCAAGACACTGTACACCGTGTATGTCAGGCCCATACTGGAGTATGCAGCACCTGTTTGGAACCCGCACTTGATAAAGCACGTCAAGAAACTAGAGAAAGTACAAAGGTTTGCGACAAGGTTAGTTCCAGAGCTAAGGGGAATGTCCTATGAAGAAAGATTAAGGGAAATCGGCCTGACGACACTGGATGACAGAAGGGTCAGGGGGAGAAATGATAACGACATATAAAATACTGCGTGGAATAGACAAGGTGGACAAAGACAGGATGTTCCAGGGAGGGGACACAGAAACAAGAGGCCACAATTGGAAGTTGAAGACACAAATGAGTCAGAGAGATATTAGGAAGTGTTTCTTCAGTCATAGAGTTGTAAGGCAGTGGAATAGCCTAGAAAATGACGTAGTGGAGGCAGGAACCATACACAGTTTTAAGACAAGGTTTGATAAAGCTCATGGAGCGGGGAGAGAGAGGACCCAGTAGCAACCGGTGAAGAGGCGAGGCCAGGAGCTAAGACTCGACCCCTGCAACCACAAATAGGTGAGTACACAGGCTGTACAATCGGCATCGGCATTTAATCCAATGAATTGGTGTTACCTCTCATTCCTTGGATCAAACCTGATTACCACCCAGACACTGTAAAACCCCTACGGGTTTGGCACGTCCCCCGTGGATTTAAAAATAATATAAAAGACTGAAATGCTTTACCTAAACATTTTTTGTTAATAATTACATTGTGTAGGCCTAAGACCTATTGTATAATTATTTTTGAACATAAAGATAACACAAATGTATGTATAAATATGATACAAATTATACGAGTTCTTAGTATATAATTATTGTGTTTTATTATAGATAAAGTGTGGGAAAAGACATGAAATCAGTTAAAGATTGAGTTTGTCACAAACACCTGTTTGTGTGACTTTATAAAGCCCATTGTTTGGCCCAAATATTGTTAATAAAGGATCACATTACAGTGCAATTGCCTATTATTCCATCATGTGTGTATTTTATACCATTTTTCTCCATAGGTTAAATCTTCTTCACATGTCACCAGTATCTTATTATACTGTGCTGTGTGTAAACAAATCTTCTTCACATGTCACCAGTATCTTATTATACTGTGCTGTGTGTAAACAAATCTTCTTCACATGTCACCAGTATCTTATTATACTGTGCTGTGTGTAAACAAATCTTCTTCACATGTCACCAGTATCTTATTATACTGTGCTGTGTGTAAACAATAGCAAGTTATAAACTAATTTGTAACAATGTAAAGGTAAGTGAAGGAACACAATAGCGGAGATAACCTGATCTGTGACTCATTCTGGAGAAGAGTATTGTTCCATAGTTTCAGACTATGGAACAATGCTCTTCTCCACACTGAGGGACTGACCACCTCAAAACTTCAAGGGTGATGGACTGATTACATCGTCTTCAAGTCTCTTCTGCTTCTATCAACTTTTCTGTACTCGACTGAAGAAGCCTATTGTGTAGGCGAGACGTTTCGAAATAAAGATACCTAACTGTTGCATATGTCTTACCTAACAACCTGTCGATATTTTATACATTTTAATGTTCAGCTGACATGTTACCCAGACTGTCAGCCACAACACCTACCTAACTCTTGGGTACCTACTGTAAGCTGATTTGCCCATAGGCCGCATCCTATCCGGGAATCGAACTCGGGTTCTTTCTATTGGAAGTGAAAAGCTGAACCATCGATATGGTTAACATGTCCCTGTCTTCAAGTGGTTGGATGATGATGCTGAATAACTCTTAATTCAAGGAATCTCAGCTACTTTTCCCTTCCTCTGATCAGACCTGTTTGCCTCCCATTGTACAGACACTGCACGACCCATACAAGTTCATCGCTACACGGGAATATAAGAATTTAGAAATACAGCAGCAGGCCGACCGGCCCTGACTTGACAAGTCTTTCTCAGATGCAATCTCCTTCCGTTCAAACAATGTTACTTCAAGTTTAAGCTGCAATAACCATACTAACTTATTACCTGCAGGTTCCACTTAGATGCAAGTGCCTTTTTTTTTTAGCCTATTGGTCATCCAATCCTTTATCCATGAGTGAAGATTTTGCCTTATGCCATGTGCTGCTAATTTTTTTTTTCAAGTCTTGTGTGGGGCAATTAAAGCCTTACTGAAATCCAAATAAACAAAATAGTATTCTTTATCATGATTCACTGGCTAAAATAAATTTTTCAGGCATGAACCACCCATTTGTGTTGAGATTTATTAATCAAATTATGCTGATCAGAGACGAGGCTTACTGTCACATGATGACTGATAAAATCCCTGTCACATGATAATGAGATCATTGTGTCATGTGGTAATGAGATCACTGTATCACATTATAATGAGATCCCTGTGTCACATAATGAGATCTTTGTGTCATGTGGTAAAGAAATCCTTGTGTCATGTGGTAATGAGATCCTTGTATCACATTATAATGAGATCCCTGTATCACATGATGAGATTCTTGTGTCATGTGCTAATGAAATCCTTGTGTCATGTAATAATGAAATGATTGTGTCGCATGATAATGAGATCTTTATGTCATGTGATGATGAGACCCTGTGTCACATGATGACTAAGTTTCTCCTTTAATTAATAAAGAACTAAACTGATCATTACCTGTGTCACACATACCTTGAATTGTAAATGACTGAAATGACTCATCTGATTAAATGAATCTTTATTATTTGAATGTTTATTTTATGATGGTTGGTAATTCTGTCAGTGCTAGTACTGGGGACCGAGGGTACTAGTGCTGGGGACTGAGGACTGAGGGGACTGGTGTTGGAGGTTGATGTAAGGCTATACTTGAGCTAGGGTCACCACAGATGAGACCTTTCAGCTTCACTGGATGACAGCTGCTTGAGGCTAACTTGTACACCGTGTAAGAACCCAAGCTAGCCCTAGCTCTCAGCTAGGACTGGATTGAGGTCAAATTAGGGCAAACATAGAAGCCTCTTCATGGATATGTTGACGACCTGTCAGTTGCTGTCTTCAGGGGAAGCCGGATCTCTTTGTGACGGCCAGATGGGTTGTTTGCCACCTGCCGAGCTTGCGGTCGCCCTTCTCCAGAGAACCTGTCATGAGGTAGCCTCGCTGCTGGTCAGCTGGGGTCACCGTGGAGGTCAACACAAGCCGGAAGTCGCCATCGGTGACTCCACGGAAGCTGCCTTCCACTACCACCTCCCCGGCCCGCGCAGGCAACACACGACCCACAGTCCTGTGTCTGAAACACCAATAACACTTTATTGAAATCACTAACCTCAGATAGTCAAAATTCAACAATTTATTCTCTGATTCTGATATTGTTTAGTATCTCGCTACCCATATCCAACACATAACAAAAAAAGTTTCCAAAACGGTGGGGATCCTCTCCAAGATACGATATTACTTGCCGCAAACTGCCCTTCTCACACTATACCATTCACTCATTTATCCATACCTCACCTATGCTATTTGTGCTTGGGGATCAACTGCAGCAACACACCTAAAGCCAATAATAACCCAACAAAAAGCCGCAGTAAGAATAATCACTAAATCCCATCACTGGCAACACCCCCCCCCCCACTCTTCATAGACCTAAACTTACTCCCTGTTCAGTACATCCACACTTACTACTGTGCAATCTTCAGCTAGAGGACCTTAAATTCCAGTATTAACCTTGACCTAAAACGCTTTCTTGATAGTTGTGACCCACAGGCACAACACCAGACACAAACATCTCTATGACATTTCCCGTGTCCGACCAAACCTTTACAAAAATTCAATGTGTGTCAAAGGGCCTAAAATCTGGAACACCCTCCCTGAAAACTCTAGAACTGCAGACACATTCATCACCTTCAAAACTACCGTTAGAAAACATCTTATCTCCCTGATACACTCCGTCAACTAACTACATGTAAACCACCTGGTGGTTCACACTTACACTCACTCACCCATCGACTAAACACAGAAATACGAATCTTAATCTTAAAATAATGAACCCTAACTAGTCATAAGCTTGCCTATGATACTCCAATATAGACACTATGTATTGTGCCAAAACAAAAGCATTCACATCGCTAAACTCACAAACTATAATGTAGTCACTTAGCCTTAATACCATAATCTGTAATAATTTAAAGTTTAGAATTAATCTAAGTTTGTCCGAAATGCCTAGCCATGCTAGGCATTTCGGACAAAGTGGCCCCCTCTGTAATTAGTATTTTAAAGCATGTAAACCACACAGTATCCAAAATCTGTAAACCCCGCATTATAATCCTTATAGAGAATAAACTTGATTGATTGATTGATTGATTTATCCAAGTTTTGGTTGTCATGTCCTAATCTCTATGCAATTTGTTATTACATAGTGAACCAATGGAAATAAGTCAAGGACCCCAATGGAAATAAGTCACTTTGTCTGATCTTTTTGGGTTATCCTCGGTAATGTGCACATGTGTTACTATGTAGAGATACCAAGCCCATGATGATTCTTTCCAAATTGCTGGAATATTGTTGTACACTAACGGCCCTTTTCAAGGCAGGCGAAATTGAAGACCTTGAGAATATATGGATAACTTCCAATGCACGTGTAAGTACGATAAAGCGTTTAAACTACTGGGAACGGTTAAGTCCCTTGATTTGTACTCCTTGGAATGCAGGCGAGAAAGAAACATGATAATATACACTAGGAAGATCCTAGAGGGACCAGATCCAAATCTGCACACGAAAATCACCCCCTATGAAAGCAAAAGACTCGGCAGGGGATGCAACATCCCCCCAGTGAAAAGCAGGGACGCCACGAGCACGCTAAGGGACAACATAATAAGCGTCAGGAGCCCAAGACTGTTCAACTGTCTCCCAATATATATTAAGGGGGATTACCCATAGACCCCTGGCTGTCTTCAAGAAGGAGCTGGACAGTCACCTAAAGTCAGTACCTGAGTAGCCGGGCTGTGGTTCTTACATCGGTTTACGAGAGGCCAGCAGTAACAGTCTGGTTAATCAAGCCCTGATTTACCGCGAGGCCTGGTCACTGACCGGGCCGCGGGGGCGTTGACCCCTCTAAACCCCTTCCAGGTATACTCCAGGTATGTGTACCTGTACCTAAATAAACCGACTTACGTAGTGTATGGGTTAGTGTGTCTTTACTGGCGACTCTAACGGAGCTTATTCTTATCTGTCCCATGTTGTCTTATATATTTTGTAATGGTTTTCCTAGTGTTGTAAGTGGTAATGACAATGATGCCTGGTTGACTAATATTATCCGAGTGTCACAAACTATGCTCTTACCTGCATTTTTTGTACCTCTGTATGTATGCTTAAATTACTAAATAAATAAATAAATAAATAAATAAGTCGATCACACGGGTTGGCTCATTAATTAGCTGACTGTAATGATTTAATCATAAATTTTACTTATACTATTATAAACCCATTTTTTTTCTTGATCAAAGCGATACGAAGTCCCCCAGTATTATTGTCCACAGTTCACACAATTCGGGAAAAAACGTTTTCAAAAGTGTTTAAAATCACTCTTTTTTTGGGGGACCAATTCAAGTTTGCATAAATAAGTCATCATGATTGAACCAGATAAAACATGTAAAACCAGTACTTTACCACTGTACCTTTTACCTAAAAATATTTAGGGAACCCATCCCGGGACCTTTTATGTGCCCTGTAATGTTGAGGCACAGCCCCTGGACCTTTTGTCCTCTTAATGTTGAGGCAAGCCCCGGGCCCTTAGTCCTCGTAATGTTGAGGCACAGTCCCGACCCGTTATGTCCCGTAATTTGAGGCACAGTCCCTGGCCCCTTTGTCCCCTCTGTAATGTTGGCACATCCAGTTCGCACGGGTTTTTCATGGCAGTCGTCACGTGAGGCACAGACCGACTCGGGGGATTAGCGGGACTTTTACAAACATGGCTTGCTTCTACAGTTTTTAAAAGCTGAGGTTAATTTTGGGGAGGTCTTGCTTCCCGGGAGGAATTAGGAGGCTGAAGGGCCCACCTCAAGGGGCCGGAAGATGTGAGGGGGTTTGGAGATGGGGGAATGAGGCTTCTACAGTGAGGTGCAGTCTTTTCCTCACTGTGAGGAGGCTGTTGGTGGGGGTAGCAAACGGCTACCACAGGGGTGCCCCCCAGCCCTCACAAGTGGCGATTTTTCACAGTAATGGGAGGCGCATCAGAGAAAGGGAAATTTAAGAGTGCAGATTTTAAGGGTAGGAAAAACGCTCTCTGTTCCCGGATGAATTACTTCAGGCCATGAAGGAAAGGGGTACAACTGCCCTCAATAAGGTAAGCGCATTCTTGTGGTTGGTGACTCTCAGGAAGAAGTTGATCGTGCTTTTGAATGGGAATAAAAAGATAGAGTAAGGTGCTTCCCGGGAGCGGTGTTGGGGACATTGTCAACAACGGAAAAATATCATGTCAGGAAATGGAACAACCCATTACTGTCTCATGCTGGTGGAAATAATTTTGGGAAAGGGGGTGGGAGGAAGAGCTGCTAGATAAGTACAGGTCAGCTATAGATTTCTTAATCTAAGGAGGGATCCCAATCATATGTAGCATCTGCCTAAAAGGGGGATGGGAAATAAAATGGTTGCTAGGAAATTTGGGTGAAAATTTGCGGCTAACAATTACGAAAAGGAATTTGCAATCCCTTCATTGAAAACTGAAAAAATTTTTATGGCAAAACATATATGTATGAAAGGGGATGGGTTCATCTCTCTGGGCGGTGGTACACTTGCAACTCGATTGAAAAGGCCCTTGGTGAAATGCCTATGTTTTTTAAACTGAGGAAGATGAGGAGGGTGTGTGTGGGAAACAACAGGTGCAACACTGGGGTTTGAAACTAAATTATAAAAGCATTCACATAAAGTTATAAATAAAAAAAATAGAAAGTCCACAAACAAAGGGGGACGCAAGGGCAGCAAGGGACACCCCCTTTAAAGGGTTTACATATAATACGGGGAGTTTTTAAAATAAAAATGAGCTAAGATTAATTGCAAGTGCGGGAAACATAGACTTATTGCTAAAAACAAGACCGGGCTCAATCTGAAAGATAGAGAGATCCCTCTGAATTCACATACAAGGCTATAAATTTTCACACTGAAGGTCAACGGGAAAGGGTGGTGGAGTAGCGATGTAGTCGAGAAATTTAAATTGTTGTTTAACAAGATTTTAATTAAACGTCAGCCACTGAATCTTTTTTGGTTACAGCTTCCAGGGCCGAGAAAAACAATTTTTGGGGTGTGATTTACGGGCCCCAAATTTTGATAGGGAGTGCAGTAAACTTCTAGGGGACAAATTTCTAAGGCATCTACAACAAAAAAATTTTGCTAATGGGAGATTCACTATAGACAGTTTAGGGGAGCAATTTACAGGAAATTTAGATCGGGTGACTTTCTGATAGATCCAGGATTGTTTTTAAAAAACAGTTTGTGACAGACCCAAACTAGGGGAAATAACCTCCTTGACTTTTTTCTTGCCAGTAGGGAAACACAAAATTTAAAAATCTTGGGTTAATGATGAGTTTGGGGGAGAGGATCAAAAATTTACCAGTTTTAACAAATCATGGTTTCCCCCAAAAAATGGCAATCAAGTCTCCGCCCCCCCTATTCGTTTGGGCTTTTTTCATAGACGAAAAATTACTTAGGGGGCTGAACTGGAATACCTGACTAGGGTCGGTAGGTGGGAGGGTTGCCGATATGTGTTTTTCCGGGGCTATTTCTAGCTGCTCAGTAAAATTATTTCCAAAATGGGGAAATCAGATCAAAAAAAAATTTCCTAAATGGATGAACAATAGATTAAAATTTTCTGATTGGAAAAAAAAGGGGGATATTAGGCAAATCAAAAGGGGAGAGGGGAAATTAAAAATCGATATTTTCATTTAAAAGAGAGAAAAAAAAAAAGGAATAGAAAAGCAAATGAGAAAAGAGGTTAATTTGAAAGGGAAATCGAAGACTAACCCAAAAGGAATTTTTCAGGTAACAGAATAAGACAGGGACAAGATAGGCCCCTCAAAATTCCCTCGGTCATCACTGACAGTGAAAAGGGAAAGTGTAAATTTTTAACCATACTTCCCTCATTTTTTTACACAGGGGGAACCACGATTTTCCCAGAATGAAAATTATTAAACAGGACATAAAAACGTGCACTATAGGGTCACAAGTGACAGGGTCCTTAGGCAAAATAATAAATTAAAACCTAACAAATCCCGGGCCCTGATGAACGTATGCAAGGGT